CACAGCTGCCAAATAGTGTTTCAGATTGGGATTTGAAAACAGTAAAGCAGTTTCAAAAAGCAAAGTCAAGCTGGAGAAATTGCCTAGGATTTCTGCTATATCTCCAATTATCCATGTGCCTCAATAATCTCTCACTTGCTCGATATGAGAACAAATTGTATTTCATTCCTCTGCTGAAAAAAAAAAGGTGCCACTTAAACAGAGCTTTGCAAAAAAATGCACTTCATTTTGGCCTGAGCATTCACCTGTAAGTTAGAGAGAACATATGAGTGTGTATGTGTGTGTGCACGTGTATGTGATGGTGTGTTAAAAGAAGCAATTCTAAGAACTTTAATATTATTTAGGTTTCTTTGATCTTTCTTGACCTTTCTGTAGTTTGGCTGAATCTAGAGAGAATTATTTCTCATAGAGAAAATAACTGGACCAACAAGGACACAGAAAGGGATTTTTTTCAAAGAGACCGCTGAGGTAAATTTTTAATTGAAATTTAGACTTAATCTTAAAACTATGAGTTTCTATGACACCCTAAACTAAGCAGAAATATTTCCTTGCATTGTTTTTCCATTCCTCCAGAAGTTTTGTAACCCTTAGGGGGCCTTATTTTGTGAATGTGTTAAGTTGTTTAGAATCGAAAGTGCAACTGACCAGTCATTGTCAGCCTCCACTCTAAGCAAAACACAAAGGGGAAAGAAATATCATCAAAAACTGAAACACAACTAGTTATTTTAATATTTAAAAGGTATCCAAATTCCACTCAAATCAACAGCAAAACTTTCATTGAGTTCAGCAGGAAAAGTATTGCAGTCACCAGTAAAACAAAGAACAACTGTAATTCCCTCAAAATTAATAAGGAATGGTCTTTTAAAATTATGCCAGTGACATCTTGAGATGTACAGAGCTGTTTGGAGAAAAACAGAATTAAGTTACTGTGTTCAGTCTGAATTATGGTTTCTCAGGAAAAGCTAAGTAAATGTTTGTTTTGTTCTGGTTTGTATGTAAGTGAGTACACACATAACTTTGCTGCTCTTTAGTTCTACCAGGATGAGAATCAGTAGGCAAGAAAAGCTGTTGTAGTATTTCACAAAATCAGGCAATAGCTAAAGTCTCTCACAAGAGTTTTCCTCCTGAGATTTCCTGGCAACAGGGTTTTAGATAAATGCAGATAAGCCCTATATAAGTATCTGAACTTAAGAAAGCTTTGGTGAACCAAAACATCTCCAGACTTCTGGCATTCAGTCCCACTAGTCAGTGTTTGCTGTATGCACGCCTCTCCACAAGAAGGAATCTGTGGCTGTATTTTGCTGCCCTCCTTACCTCGGTTTCTGAGAGGAGATGAGATGAGCTGACAATTCCTTTGAGTCAGTCTTTCCATAAACACACGAACCATCAGGAGCAATTCCGAGAAGAAATTTTCAGAGCACCTTCTTCTTCCAGTTCCTGTGCAGCATTCCCATGACACTATGCCCAGTAACTCATGAGCATCTCTAAATTTAGATTCCACTCATTGCTGGCACAGTAGCAGACCAGTCTCACAAGGCCTGTTTTCAAGTACTGCATTGTTAACATGCTTCTGTTATCTCCTCTCCCACTGTTGTTCAAGAATTAGTTGCTGTTCAATGAGAACAACACAAAGACATTGTCAAAGA